TGCACTTTACCTTCTTGATCATTCGCTTTTCAAAAATGCATGTAATCGGTAAAAATAAAAATAAATCTTAATCTTAAAAATATGACGCTTTTACAGGCAAAAATTCTTGTAAGATAAATAAACTAATTATTCATATTTATTCATATATTTATATCTGGATGACTTAACTAATTTGAAAGAATAAATCGTTCTTTTTTTTGAAACAATCAGTTACATATCATTTCATAAAAAATGGATTTAACTGATCGATGGCAGGCAAAAATTGGACTTAAAGGCTGAAAAAAGTAATTGAAAATAAATATGATCCAACTTAAAAGTAGTGGTAGATGTAAAAAAAAATATAACAAAAAAACTAGTGAATGTTTTAAGTAACTATTTAGGGATGAGTTTGAGGAAACGGAATAAGTTTCCTCGTATCTGAAATGAGAGAGGAGTTGAAAAGTGTCTAACATGAAAAAGAAGTAATATTGCCGTGAGGCATGAGTGAAAAGGCGAATGGATGAGAAAATAAAAGCGAGAATGTGACATGAGCGATTGAGAGAGAAAATTAAGAAAAGCTTTGAATTGCTCGACTGGAGTAAGGTTAGTTGAGAAATGTGGGTGCAATGGAAACGGAGTCTCGATGCCAAAAGTACCGAGGGTTACGAGGTAGTGATGAATTGGCTGATCCAAATCGGGCGATTCCGATGATTTCAGTGTCGCCGAGCCGGCTACATGTGGGAATGTTATTTCAACTTTTCTGCCACAATCAAGGCCAAACTGCTCGAATCTCCAGAATCGGTGAAACATTTCACATGAACATTTCGCATGGGATCTCCAACCTTGACAGACGTGCTGCCGGGACGAGGTGGAAGTTGGCAAACAAATGTGGATGCCCACAAACGCACAGACAGAGTGAGCTTGATCCGAAGTGGCAGGAGGACTGGCCAAATGTGGGCTGGTCTCCAGGTCTACCGGCAAGAGAACTGGTTGAGTAAACTTACTCTTACAATCGTTGCTAGCGTCAACTGTTGCAATGGATTCTACAATGTGGCTACGTCAGGCGAGTCGAATGCTGTGAAAATGTCACTTGGCAACTGTGTCAGAAACTGGGATTTCCACTTTCTGCCTAATCAGACACTTTTTACAACCCGGTTTATGTTCTTGTTTAGCGACATTTTGTTGCCAGTTTTGAACAGCCTCGTTTGGAAAGATAAAAACAATCCTGGCTCTGGACAAAGTTGAAAATGGGTGTGTTTTAGGAAAGTATTTGCACACACAATTCAAGGCGTTGCTCTGTGCTAGAGTGTGTTGGAATTGATGGCTTCGATTACCGCATGTCGGAAGGGTTGCGGAGCCATTTGCAGAAGATGTCATTTGTTGCTGCACTTGGCTCGACGGTGAGGCCAGTTGTTTGCACAATCGGAAAGGACTTGTTTTCGACTTGCCAAGCAACCCATTTCAAGAAAGTCGATCGCTTTCATCCTCATCATGACATCTCGTCAGCCAATCGAATTGCCAGCTCGTCCAGCATTTGCTGCCATCCATTTTTCCCCATTCCTCCCGTCCACAGCGAAGCCCATTTTGGTGGCACGACGAGGTGAGAAGTGGACTTTGTGTTGTGACGTGAAGAAGACAAGAGAACCACTTTTCGAGACATGTCACAAACCTTGAAACATCCGTTCCGCGAGGAGTGGTCAAGCGTGAACAGAGGAGAAGGGAATGAGTGAAACGGTGAACAAGTTTGAAGAAGACCCTTCGGGCCAACGGGCACGGCTGTGCCGATTCGGTTGGGCGAGACACACACGAGCCAACAGCAACAGGAAGACGGTACCGAATTGAAAGCGACCGTCCGTGGCGAGCAACAAGATTGTCTCCACCGTCCAAGCAGAAGCGATTACATTGACGCAAGCATGCGGACGGACCACGCCGTGTCTACACGCCAAACTATGTCAGTCTACTCAGCAAAAGAGACGAAGAAAGGAGAAATTGCCCATCACAAAAGCAAACGAGTCTACAACAAAAGGCTCTTCCTCGTCCAA